TTAAGCAGATGTTGATCTCTATGACCCTTTACTAAAGTTCTGTAGTTGAACAGGTTTATGAGAAAGTGCACTCAGTTTTTTTCATAAGTCATTATCAGCACAGCCATGTATTTTCTTCTTCAATTTTTATCTTTACTAAAAATAAAAACCACGGAAAGTGTGTAATGGTTCGGCGTTCCCTACAATAAACACATACTCTAAGATTTGTTGCTGCACCTCGGACAGATTAAGCCCTGTAGTGCTGCGAGATCGACAAACTAGCGTTCGAGTTGTCTGGGGGGATAAAAAACCGACTTGATCCATCGGTAGCAGCTACAAATCATCGTGAAGGCCAGATATGTAGTCCATCACTTCTGACGGTGCTCAGTGAAGACGAATGCAGAGCAGCACTCAGGGATTGATCAACGCTAAACGCTTCGTTCTTCATGTTTTTCAAGGATTGCACCAATCCATTCCTTCAGGATCACACCAAAAAATGCAAGATAAGCGTCACACTATCTCCTCCGTCTTCCAGAATCGAGAGGAAAATGTACTAAACCGTCAAATTTATTAAAAACCTAAAGTGTAACATTCCTTTTCTTGTCCCTATTGTGTTGTTATGATCGTCTTCGTGTTTTCTCAAGTATTTCGCTTCAAGCTGTTTGCATCAACTGAAAAGGCTTCCTGCATCCTGCATGAAAGGGCATCACCCAGCCTCATTCGAAAGATGGTCTGCTGAGGAAGACACAACTCGATACGAAGATGAAAATGCCACATCGAAACGAAGAAGAACGGTGGACCATCGACTTGGATCGTCGGCTCTGATGAAAACGAAGACGTAGAAACGTTATCCGAACGAAACTGTTTATTAGCCTCGTGTAAGCTTATCAAAGAAAGAATACATGAATAGACTTTATATTCACCTGTACCACCTGTAGTCCCGTTGATTGTCGAGTGACTCGAGCAGCGCCAGTAAATCTTCCATTTTTCCCTGTCGCGTGCAAGAGTAGCCCAGTGGGTGCTTCCCGCTCTATGGACTTGTCGAGCATCATATCTTTCTTCAAGGCTCTTCATGAAGAACTCTGACCATCGAGTCGGTGATCTTCCGGCAGTGCCTTTGATACCTCAAGGAATTTAGTCGCTTACGGTCCTTGTCCATCGGTTGTCGTCAATACATGTCACGAGTCCGGCTCATCTTATCCTCGACTGTTTGGCGTACAAAACGGCATCCTCGATTTTTGATCGTTGACGCAGGTCGGAGCTTCGGATCATCCCTTGTGTGAAAAGGGTACCCATAGCATCGTCCTTTCGACTGTGCGTTCGATAGCGCTGTGGTTTTTCATCCTGCTTACGCAGCGACCAGTTTTCTGACTCATACGTTAGGACAGGAAGCACCGTTAAGTTGAAAACGTGGGCACGGAGTCGGGTGTTCTTTATCTTCTTCACTACACCTTCGATGCTATTGAAACCTTCCCAAGCCGGTCGTTTCCTTCTGCTCAGCTCTGCAGCTATGTCGTCCATCATATTGATTTCCTAACATAGATATAACTGGAGCATTCGGAGATGTCCGTTAGGTTGAGCGTGAATGGGGCATACGAAACCAATCCGCTCCTCATGAACATCGTTTTTGTGGGATTTAGCCGAAGACCAATTTATCCACAGCTTTGATGAAAGTCGGCAAACATACGTTCCGCTTGGCTAAAGTTTGATGTTATAAGGATGATGTCATCAGTAAAGCGAAGATGATGTAACTGCCCACGATCGATTTTCACTCCCATATTATCCCCATACCAAAGTTCGCATGACGGTCTGGAGGGTGGCAGTAAATAATTTGCGAGACGGTATCACGTTGCCTAACCCCTCTTCCAACGTCAATGTTAATATCGTTTTAGAATGGTGATATCTTAGTTGCGAAATTTTTGTACAGCTCACGAAGAATCTTTATGTACTGAGCAGGGACTCCTTGACTATCAAGGGTTTCCATGACTACCTCTATCACAGTTCAGTCAAAGGCCTTCTTTAAATCGATGAAAGTGAGATGGAGCGGTCTTTTGTATTCTCGCGATACTTCAATGAGTCTTCTTATCGTATGAATGTGGTCCATCGTACTAAATCCTTTTCGAAACCCTGCTTGCTTACACGGCAGTCCTTCGTCCGGTGTTCTGTCAGTCTTGTTTAGGATGACTCGAGTGAAAAGTTTGTAGACGACAGACAGTAAGCAGATTGGGCGATAGTTGCCGATATCGTGTAGGTCACCCTTCTTGAACAATAACACGGTCTTGCTTGTCTTCCACTGAGTAGGGATCTTGCATTCAGACAGGTAACGTGTGAAGAGCCGAGCCAGTGTGTTTACGAGAACTGGCGGAATGTTCTTCAGGTATTCTGGTCTTATCCTGTCCGGACCTGGTGCTGTTCGATTTTTCCCCGACGAAATGGCATGTCGGATTTCGGAACGGAGAACCGGTGGTACAGCATATCCATCCTTCTTTATTTCATATAACGGAAGGTGGACGTGGCTATCGAAGAGATCTGAGTAGTATTCGTGAATGATTTTTTCTATTGCTTTTCTGGACGCTGTGGCTATTCCGTCTGGGCGTCGGAGTGCAATCCTCTTGGTGTTGTAGTTGGCGAAGCTTGGGTGGGATTTGCGAATGCTTTTCCAAGCCTCTGCAGCTTCGGCCATTACTGCTGCTCTTCTCTCTCTAAGATCTTCTTTTATCGCCTCTCTGCATTGTTTTGCAAGTTCGAAGGTTAGATCGCGATTGCCTTCAGCTCGAACGGTTCCACGTTGGCGTATCAGTTCGAGTGTTTCTGGAGACAGACGTCTCTTGGTGGCTGTCGAACTCCTAGCTTTCATAGCGCTAACGTGAAGATGTTGAATGAGCTGATCGTATTCCTAGTCGATGTTATCGACAACGGTATCTTCCTGTCAGCAGTTTAATGAGTTGAATAAGTTCCAGCTTGTGGTGGTTTTGGGACCTCGGTTTTCGAATTTAGTGGCTTTTTCTCCTTTCCACGAGAAATAGAATCTATCACGAAAGAGACGGTGGTCTGATCCCGTGTACAATTTTGGGATAACAGCGACATCGGCTAGGCAAAACCTTCTATTTACTATAATGTGGTCTATTTCGTTATGGTACTCTCCATTGGGAGACTCCCACGACCAGCGTTGAGGGTGAGGCTTCTGGAATTGCGAGTTACCATGGACGGTTTTGGTCGCCATGATAAACTCAATTAGCCGCTCACCCTGTTCGTTCTATTCTTTCCCAATGTGACGTTATTCAGACGTTCTTCTTAGTGCAATTCTGGCATTGAAATCTCCAACGATAGCCTTGAAGAATGTATAGTCTTCTCTGTAGAACTTTTCGAACACCATATAGAACGCTTCGACTTCTTCTTCGTCATAGTTTGATGTCGGTGCGTGAACGACGAATGTTGTCAAAGCTGGTATTGATCCACTTCTTTTTAATCGTAAACGTCCGATTCGGGTTGAAAGCTGTTCGAATGAATCGATGTTCATGGACAAACTCGTGTTGACGAGAATGCCGACGCCGCCGACTCCTTTACTGTCGCATGTTCCGAGGAACATTTCTTCTCTGGTGTCATAGACGGCGTTGAATAGGTGGTATCATCTCGTCTCGGCCAAGCCGATGACGTCGTGCCTAATCTTTCTTGCTTGCATAGGCAAGTCTTCTATCGAGGAATCGGATGCAAGTGTACGTGCATTGTAGCTACAGTTCGTCACCTTAGTTCTTCCTGATCCAGGGCAGCTTCCATTGGTCCTGAGATTTTAGCAGCTTCTCCGTACTCGTCCTACCCAAAGCTTCCGAATTGTGGGCTCTTTAGGGGTCAAGGGAATAAGGCCCGTTTCTTTTTAATGTGTCAAGCATTTTGATACCCACGTATAGTTTGCTGGCCTTTGAACGTGATTGCTTGGGTTTACTCATGGGTGGCTTGCAAGGTTCTCCCAGAGTAGGCATAGAGCTCATTTGTTGGAGACAACTCCTAGCCGCCCCTCTTATACTTCCCTGTCACTCGATTGCAGGTTTTTGGCCGAATTGACTCGTAGAATACAATCCGCATAAGCGAGAATGCACCCACACACGCATGCATGAATACGCCTAGCAAATACAAAAGTAGGTGCCAAATCGGCGCTATAGAAACAGAGAGTCCATTCCCTGGATCTATATGCTTCTCAGGGAAGCAAAGGTCGCTTTTGTCCTCGATTAACCCCCTATCCGCCACCTGGGGATGCGTCACGTAGCCTCGCGACTAACCGGTTCGAGATTCCTCATGTGAGGGAGATCAGTGGAAAAACTCCGAACAGCAGGTGTTGCGGTGGGGAACGAACGCGCTATTGTCCTTTAACCAGGGAGCGACGCGTTCACCACCACACCATGCAGGTCTGCGGTCTGCGGGATCTAAGTATTATGGTTTTTCCATTGAGGTTATGGGGATGTATGGCTGACTGTGCTGCTCTCAACTTGACCAATAAACTTGTGAAAGTCGAATATCTAAAATGAACTTAAAGAGCAGTAACGATGTGCTGGAATAAGAGAGAAGTCCATTCAGGACACTATTAATACTACGTTATGTCTTGTGAAATTATCATAGAAAAGTTTCCACGAATCTGATAATCAAGCTTGTTTTGTCTAATCACATACTCCAGTTCAATTTTAATGAAGAATAAAATATTGCTTGTTGTCAGTCTTCCTGTTGAACGTTGGGTGAATGAATCAGGCATTACCAAATTCTTTACTTGTCCCAGTTGACTTCATATTACCTAAAATAGTCTCTTAGACTATCTCATTTGCAATATCAATGAAGAAAAAAGTATTCTGGAATCTATCAAAGTCGCTTCATCCACAATATCGCACAGATTTTTCATAAAACCTTGGATACTTAAAGAAATTTCCTGCATATCTGAAGAAAAAGCTTAAATTGCATTTTTTTAAATTATAAAGGCTATTTCTCCAATTATTTTCAGACAAAATCTAGAAGTTATATGGTCGGCGGACGGTATGGTGGGTAATAAATACTTTGAGTCTGATGGCAAGCACTTTATCGAAGTACAGGTGACGAATCGTAACTCTTTGCACATTCTCCAGATATTGAAAGCGTACTTCTAAGACTGTGAACTAACAGGCATTGATTTAACATATGGAAAAGGGGTGTGTTATTTAGCTCTTCGTAATGCAATAGCCAGTCGATGACCATCCACTTATACGATATCACCACTTGATTTATTTTCTGGAAGACCTGTTACACCACATTGCGAACGAGTAATCAGGTTCACCTCTTGATAGACATATACTTCCTTAGGGGTCAGAAGACTTAGCAATTACTAAACTCTCACCGTCAGAAAATTTTCTAGGGATCTTGTAGGTCTTCGACGAATCATTCTACTTGAGGGATTTCATGATAACTAGTCGCAACAATAGTGAAAAGTACGTAGGCGACAAGTGGGCAGTGCACGTCGAAGAAGAGCAATTGTGCACTAGAACTCGAGTGGATTCATTGATTCATAAAATGCACCCAAATTTTCCGCTCGTTTTGTACCCTTCAAAGTGGATTTGGACAAAAGTCTTCGATAAAATTGGTAAGAAATACAATAGGAGCAGTCCGGTCTCGCCACCAGCAAATAAGTTCAAAGTCCTCCTAGAGAGAAACATGGCCAATAAACCATTCGTGATCATATCACCCGTATAGCAAGGGACCATGAGCCACCTATTAACCCCCTGTCAAGAAGTAATACAAACAACATATCTCATTCGAAGTGTGACATTCCTAGCGTTCCTTGACCTAGCAAAGCATAGTGGGTAGGGCATTACATGGACGGACGAATGGAGAATTCACGGGTCTCCACTCGAATCACTCCATGTTGCAGAAAAAGTGCCTGCGATATGGGATGCACCTCTATCGAGTTACAATGACGGTGGCGCTGTATGAGGAGGACTCGTGAACCATCTAATCCGTATTTCTTGAAGTATCACAGGATCAAATGACTCAGTGCCAAAAAATCTGCGCAACACGCAACACATGCACTTTAAAGCATGTCGATCCTGCGAATTTTATGAATGATTGAAATCAGAGGACAGTTAGCAAGCGACGCTGATGAAAGCTAGGCTTGGTCTCACAGTATACCACTGCATTATGCCGTCTTTAGAAGAAATCTGATGACGAAAAATACTTCATTTCTCAAAGAGCAACGGCTGTAAGTATCCCGGCTGTCGAACAAGTACTAAGTTTTGGGATTAGTTCTTGCTGAATCAGAGCATATTCTCATTTTATTCATTCGAAGTAGAATCTTAGTCATCGATATTATTCGCTGTATCATTTGGGAAAGGACACGTGCAGCGCAGTGGTGGGAGTCATTCTGCAACACACACATGGAATCTATCACCGTGCCCCTGGCCCACCAAGTCTTCTGTCTCTCCGGGGTCGGCAAACTGGTACCACTTGTCTGGGATTGTCTGGGAGGATGGCAGCACTGGCTCGATACATCGGTGGGCTGTCGCGAGTCATTATAAAGGCAGATATGCATTCAATCACCTCCAAACGATGCTTAATGAAGTCGAATGCATGGCGTACCCCTAAGAGATTGATCAACGCCGAGAGCTTTATTCTTCTTCCTTTATCATTAATTAATGGGACGTCGATTTTTGGACGGATTCTGGATTTTTTTTCTAAAAAGTCGGGTCTTGAAATCTATAGAGAGAGCATTTTTGTGCTATAACCCAGTCAGACTCTCCACCTACGAGCTAATCAATATCAATAGGTGAGGCCGATTATTGCCATGCACAGAATTCGCTCTGTATTGCTTCAGTCTCCTTTATCTTGTAGCAGAAACGAACTTGCGCACTATCTTGTGCAGCGATTGACAGTTACCATCTGATTTATCACCAGGAAATCACAAAGCGTATCTTGAACCTCCTAAAATATAGGAAGTGCTTGGTTGCGACCGTATGGATCGCGTTTCGGTTGAACCAGTTGTCCCTTATCGCTGCCAAAGCAGACGTGGAGCAAGCTGTCTCCTAGTTCCGATCTGCAGTCAGACTCTGTCTCAAAAGATGTTTGTAGGACAGGATCAAGCAACAAAGATCCATAAGATGCTGACTTTCATGGACTGATGGTGGTCGGTAGGAGTGCATGGTGTCAGGAACCTCCTCATGTACTAGCCGACGGAGTTGAGTGCTAGGTGAAGGTGCTATGGTCTGTGTGGTGCTATAGTCGAATGCCCCAAGTAACGTGTGCTCTAATTCATACGTGTTTTGAGCTTAAGGTGAGAGTGTCGTCATCCAAGGTGTCCGGTTCTAGAAAGATCCAGAAACACCGACGAAACAATTCGTTAATAATGCACATGTAGAAACGTTCCGCCGAGTCGGCGAAGGAGGAATTTCGGACATGCGTTTCGTCGCAACTATATCTCCAAGTGTAAACGTCAAATTTCTTCCATTTCTAATATGGGTGACCATTTTGAAGAGTGAATTAGTTTCGTGATAAATATTGCATTGAGACTAAAATACTCGCAAAAATGTGTAACATACTGAATTTTGAAATATCCATTTTTCAGGAATTGATTCCGGCTACCGGCGGAAAGTATCAGATAGTCAAGAAAGTAATAGAGACCACGCCTCCATCAGCTGTAATCCCTGCACTAACTCTGCCAGATGATACCGTGGTGTGTTATAGTTCTAATTTTCAGTGGGCGTGAATTTTAGAGTACGGAAGGATTCTAAGTTAATTAGACAGACACTTGTTCTTTTGAACTTCCTTGTTATTTTTAGAAGGAAAGTGTAGGTCGTAACGATGGTATTTGGTACGAGCCTTCAGGTCAATGGTCCTACCCTAAACTAGTGAGTGCAAATTTCGATATTACGATTCCTCTTATTTTTTTACTCTTTCAAAGGTCTCGAAGATCACCATATCGTTATGCGCATCGGACCATTTCCTGAATTCGTTTCATTACATAACATCCATCATTCACAAACGTACTTGCATTTGTGCGCGGAAACCACTCGAGAATTTTGTCTTCGTCACTAATATCGTTGAATGCCGGTCGAATAGATGCTCTTGAAGTCCTGGGATAGTTGTGGGATTCTGAAGCCTTCACCAAAGGTATTCGGCAACCTTTGTGCTTTCAACGAAGTTTTTTGCACCCAAATCTGGTTGCAACTTGTAGACTCTGGTGTGATGGGAAGCTTGCTTGGTCCAGGTCAGAGTCTAACCAGCAATTATTCACGTATCACTGCATGGCTTCGCTACCCACTGGACTTTCCACGTTTCCTGCTTTCTTAAACAAAACAAAAATGATTGGAAAATGCAAATCTTCACCAAGAATATGGAAGTTTATCCACATAATTCACCGTTCTTCTTGAGTGTGAAAGCACGAGGTTGATAATTATAGAATTCATTAACACACAATAACTGACGCTTCGGCGGCCACCCCTTCTTCAGAGCCTTTTAATTCTTTGTAAGTATTCCAGTCAATTGCTGATGAGCAGTCGCAGAGAGTAATACATAGGCGAGGAAAATCATTGTCAACTTTATCCACTCTTGTAGAGAATGTCCTCACTTGTCATACAGAATCCATTCTTAACCGCTTATCACAACGCGATGAATAAACAAACGGCTTTTGTTGAGTAAAAAGAAGAAAAAGACCATGAAACGGATCTCCATCCATTTCTCGAGCTTTTTTTACTTTCTTATTCAGTTGAGGAATTTCGAAAGCGTTTCCATATTCAGGCCTACTCTTTCACAACCCTCGAAGCACGTGTTGCGTATGGATTTGCTTTAGTCTTTAACTATACGTCTCCAATGACGACAGGTTGCCCTAGCCACTTTTCTTCTTGGCAGTTCCGATTTCCTTCGCCAAATTACTGAAGACAGTGTCCCGTCGCTACAAATGTTCATGCTTTCTGGTTAAATGTAACGTCAATGTAGCGTACAACGTTGAATCCACGCAAGAAGTTGTTCGATACTTCTCGTTTTCGTCCTAGTGGCCTAAATGCAAATGTTTGATGAAACTTTTGCTCAAAATGCTGCACATTAATAGTCATAAATCCTACTCTAAAAACATCTGAAGAAGCTTCTTTAAGATCTAAATAGCAAAACCGACACGATTTGCGTGATGACCTATTGTTTAACAAACAAGTGACGTCGGTGCATTAATTTCAATGCATATTCCTTCTGTTTATTCTGCCACATGGGCCTCATCTGCTAAATTATTTCCCATTGAATCAAGTGTTTATCTAGCAGAAATGTTGTACCAGATATGGCCTTTAAGAAGCAACCTGAACGTAATAATTTGCCATAAATGTTTCTTCGGACGAGTTTTCCAATGAACACCATGTGCAGCGAAAAATTAGGTGTAGTGGCGCATGTGATCAAAACGCTGGCATTTTTTTATTGGTCTAAATTTCTTAACATGACTTCATAGTGAATTGACTGTTCATTTTTAGCTATTTTCTCCACAACATGGTTGGCGCGAGATGAGTGCAAAAGAAGTTCAAGGATTAGACGAAGTCCTGCCAATTGCAGAATATGACTCACCTACCCATCCAATTAAAACGCTTTCAAGTCAGGATCGGGATGTGTCTCCCTATCATAAAAATGCGGTAACTCGACGATATAATGTGAAAAGTCCTAATATCGCGACGATTTTTCGTGATGGCCAATGGCAGGACGAATCACATTTGCAACATGAAAAGTCTGCTCAACAAACAGGAGTCAATGGGAAAGCTCAGAACAAAGAATTTTCGGGAAGTACGGGATCCGCATTTGTGGACTACATTCGCCATCAACAACCGAGAAAGATCCAGTTCTCGGACAATTCAACAATCGATCAGTGTGGTTATGCTGGCACAACGAAAGGGCAAAGCGATTTCTGGTTACTCCGAACAGAACCATGTGATGATAAGTCAGTACAAGGTCTTATATTACTGCCAAATGGAGAAGTGCTAAAATTCTACGGTCATCCGCAGCTTGTTACGGTATAGCCGAAAAGACGTGATGTTAGCACTCCAGAGTAGTACTAGAATTTTTCCAGTTTTCGCGCTTAGATCTAAATGTTTGACATAACTGAATGTGTAAAAACACCACTTAAGCGACTCTAATCTTTTAATCACTAAGTTTAATCAACGGTTAATAGGACTTCGACACGACCTAAATGTGAAGTCAAAATCAATTCACACAACAAATAATGTTATCTTTAAATTGGAAACCAATAAAGGATAAAAGCGAACTTCTTCACTGGGCATTGAATGCTGAGAGAATGATTGCACGAAAACTATTACGGAAAGATGTAACAATCCAATGTACCAGTAGTAATTCGATAATTTCTTGATAATAGCGCATGAGAACGTCTAATACTTATTTGATACTTGAATGGCCCGTCCTCACTGGTTGTGCGGGCCCCAGCATAATCTCCATTTTTTGGAGATTTGCTGGTTAAGCCATTATGGTTCCCTGGAGTACTGAGGTCAGCCTGGCCAAAGTCTGCCCCAGGTCTTCACCACCATGTGTAGTCGCAGCCCTTGTGGATCAGAGGAGATTTACCACCATAGGACTTTGATCCCAAGGCGGTGGTGGATCCTGGAATTGGTTTACTCTTAGCTAGGTTTCCTGATAGAAACGCCGGACTCCTTCTCAGCCTGGGAGACCCCGCCGGGAGGACGAATCCCCCCGCTGTACATCGCAGTCCGACACCCAGGACACCTCCCAGCCACGATGAGGCGGTGAGGCGGTAAACCGTTGGGGAACATCTAATAATATTGGTAATTAATAGTAGTGATTTATATTGAGGTAATATATGGAATCGTTAGCGACCATACGGAAGGAAGCTCCTCTATTCAATACTTCTACCGTTCTGATCACTTGACATTACCATCATCCGCAAATAGTAGACCAAAAAAAGAAGAGGAAAACTGTATTACTTACTCATCACTCGAACCTTACTAACCAGTTTAGAGGCTAAATTTATGGCTCAATATTTCCTGGTTATACACTTGGACGATGCATTTTCAGATATTAGACAAGTACCGGTACTTCTTCTATTCGCTTCGCTGCCTTGATACTGTCACCTACGAAAGTGGATGAACTCGTATATGGCTTCGGCTACAAATTTAGGCGCTGCTATCCTTTACCGTCGACATCTTTAACGATGATCAAGCGTGATTTTCCCTGAAAACACCAGGTCTGCATGGTAAGACGGATTCCTCCAGAATAACAACAATTCCTGTAATAGCACTGAATCCTACAATTAGTCTACTGACCGCTCGCGTGCGATGCAGCAGGTTGAATCTCAAATCCAGTATTTCAGCAAAACTATATTTAAGTAACATGAATTGCTAGACCAATGGTGCTGACGGAAGATAACTATCGTTTTGAAAAAGTTCCTTTTAAAGATGGCATTCCATTCCCTTTTTCTTTCTTCAATATTCTTCAACATTGTCGTCCAGAATTCTCTAGCTTACAGGTAAACCAATACTTCCAGTCAAATTACTCCCATTTTCTACTGTTTAGCCCACTGTTCGATGGATCGAACCTGCGTACAGGTGTTCGATATTATTTCATGCAAAGAAAAAAACTAGAGCCAATATCTTCAGAGCTTTCAGATTTTAAAGATAAATTCCTGCAAAGGTGGGACAACCAAATACTGCAAAGAAAGTTCTATGCTTCGTTAATAGAATCAAGAAGGATTTGTTTGTTTTTCATAATTTCTTTGGAAGTCCTACTATTTTATAAGCCGAATTCCGTCAAACTTCGTAACCATAACTCAACCGATATACTGTAAAGGATTTTCGCATCAGTCCATTAATTACGGCAAACTTTGTGGATCCCGAACCAACTACGATTCAGTCAATACAATGTTTATACGGATGTTCTCATTTTCAAATATGGTGCAAATGAACACATAACAACATCGAGTTACTAAATAAGAACTTTCACGAAGATCAGTATTTAATAAAGGAGAACACAAAGAAGGTAGTGTAGTGTGAGAACCTTCAAAGATACTGCTTTTGTCAAGAGGATAACTACGATTAGCTCGCCGGTTCATGTGGGGTAGAGGTGCTCACAAAACAACCAGAATCTACTTCTGAAAAATGTCTGCAGATAAAGAAGACGGAACAGTATTTGACGGTGAACCTGAACCAGGTTGTACTGTCCGGAATATGTCCTGAATGTCCCAGGAAACGTTCTGAATGTCTCAGGAAACACTGCCTAGGACCTGGACAATTTAACAGGCAATGAAAGAAAAAACGAACACGTTCCTTTCACAACAGGAATCATACTAGAGAAGACAACCGGGCCATAACGGAATAGACGACGTACGGATCAATTGGTATAAAGAGCCTTTAGTCGTATCCCATATACTTCCCTATTAATTGGACGATTTTGGCAAAATCACCGTGCAGACTAAAAGATACAGCATTCAGTTGCTCTTGAATCCTTATGGATTCGTCACGTATTCGACTTCACTCGTATCATTCCAGAGGTGAATGAGTGCATATTTCGCCTACACAACGAATTGCTTAAACCTATGCGATGTAACAAGACGGAGTTTTTATCCACGCAGACATATCCGGCACCGATTTGCCAGCCGTGAAGAAATGGAGAGATGGACGGACGACTTACTTCACTGGAGGCGCGGTGTCCAACCAACTACAGAGACACCTTTAACAACAGCGTTTAACGAGCCTTAGACGTAGAATACAGTGTTTAAATTCGAAAGCACATCTACGCTCGTGTGCACACATATATGACAATATGTACATAGAAACTATTCAGGTAAACAAGGTTCAAAAGATGCATGGAATTCATTTCCTGAACCCATCAACGTCAAAAAGTAGTTACTAGGTCACAGCTTAATAAATAAATATTGTTATAAAAGCATTAAATAACCGACAAAGTAGGCCAAAGATGATTTGCTAAGTGGTGAACTGCTGCCGTTACACATACGTTCATAACGAAGTTGCCATGCACACGTGGAGTATCGCAACTGACCGGTCGTTTTTCCAATGTATAGCAAAGATTGCTTCAGGGAAGCAAAACAGAAGCAGCTGTACCAAAATCGGCGGTGATTTGGGGTTCTAGCAACGAAGATTTCAAAACTCTTTTAATATTCGCGAATAAATTATAAAACGGCCACATGGAGATCAAAGGTAGTTACCGAAAGAACATTCGACATTAAACGTAAGAAAAGAAAAACCAGAGGCAAAGATGGGTCCAAGATTCAGAGCAAAAAAAAGTATCTACAGACAGCGAACTATAGCCTAATTGTACGAGATGACGCGTTAGAAGTGCACATCGAATAGCTGCGCGGCTAGAGTACGTAGTAGACGTTGAGTGCGTCTAGACTGTTCCCGAGCTAGCACATCTCGTCCTTCAGGATTCATACAACTTGCGTAGGCGTTGGAAAACTGAAAATGAAACGTGAGTGTAGCTGAATGGAACGTCTACTACATGAACGATAAATGAACAACAAAACCAGTAATTTCCTAAAGCACATCTTTCGAACGCAAGTGATTTTCTTCGAGTTCAATATACCGATGAAGTCTCGGGTTAATTCGGATGTCAGATGGCCAAGACAGTCTAATGGGTAGATGATTTTATTACCAACAACATTATTCCTCGGACCTCGCATTGAAACTCATATAGACAAATAATACAAAACTAATAAAATTTCAATGAGCGCCAGGAACCCATCGAAAAAGCTAAACCGTAGAGTCTGGGTTAAGTAGTGAATTATTTATACCAACTAATGAAGCCGCAGCTCCACAGAAAAACGATGACGAATGAAGGACTTAGTACTGTAAAAGACAACTAGTAATCAAGAAGAAAGATGAAGCAGACTTCTATGTTTTCCAAAAACTTGCAGTATATTAAGGAATTACGGATAATTCGTAACGTCAAACGAACGTACCAGCAAATCTGCGCTATGTTGCATATGATTTCTTTCATATACATCGGAAAGGTACTCAGCTAGAGTGTTATCGAACACCATACCAGAATAGTTCGCTCCAGCATCAAGTGGAAGCTCCGAAAACAATAACTGAAAATCTCTATCCTCTATAACAATTCTTAGTTTTTAATCACAGTCAGAAGTAAGGCAGACACTCTAGCTAAACGCTACTCTAGTAATTCTTTATAAGAAAACTATCAGTATCCAAACATAGACAACCTCCATGGATTTAATATACTCGTCCTCTCTTTTGTGTTCAATCAATTGACAAACAAGAGCGGCCAGAGTGAAGTACTGTGATCGAGCTAAGCATACTCGCAATCGATGCCAGATCTATAGAAGGTAGACATCAAAAAGATATAAATTCGTACAAACAGCAACACATTATAAGATGTATGAAATGCCTAAGTAAAACGAGACATACGACATCCTCGGATTGAGCTTCTTGAACTCCTGCAAGCAACGCTTGCCTTGACGCTAGTAAATATTCCATATACAAAATACCAGCTTCATTTAAAAGACCTCTCCCTACAAGAACCCAATTTCAGTTTTAAAAGAGTCAATTTATTCATATATGAAGCTTCTAAACAGATTTTTAACTTTATAAAATGTGGCCTTCTAGAGGCCATAAAATTTGCAACTACAGAAAACACGGAGATTACGCATCTGATAAACAAAACTTAGTGAAAGTTTTTAGATTTTAAGGCATCAAAAACTAATCCTACCGTATCGAAAGTCGGCAGCTGACCGTAACCAGGGCGAATTGGTGGGATTTATGGTGAGCGCAATGCGGAAAAACATTTCTAGTAGCTCTTGCACAGCAAGAATGTTTAAGTTTTTAAACCTACAAATAAATGTTAGCAAAAAAAGATAAACAGAGAAAGGACCTGATCAAAATGGATTAGTATTATAATGTAAAAAGCGGGATTGCGCTAAAGTCGAATTTAAAAAGCCAAAAAAAACTAACGAAAAAGGCAAATTTGAAGTTTCCCGATTTGTTATTGTTTGAAAAATCTACGAATATAAAAGACACTA